CTCCACCCTTCCCTACTTACATAGATTTCATTTCCATTTTTTTTTCTTTTCTCATAGTTTTTCCTTTACCTCTTTTCCTTTCCCCTTCCCCTCCTTTCACTCCTTCGTCTTTGGACCTTTTTTCCTATTTCAAATGATCAATTATTCATTTTAATCATTTTAACCTTTGTTTACACTATCAGTTTCTCACACTAGAGAAACTATTTGGTATTTACACATGTATGTCCTATTTATTTCACTTAAGAGTGTGGCCTCAATATGCATCCATTTAGCTATAAGTGACTCTAGTTTTTCATTCTTTATGGCTGAGTAATACTCCATTTTATTAAAAAAAACACATTTTCTTTATCCAGTTTCCAGTTGATGGGCACTTGGGCTGCTTCCAAGCTTTAGCTATTACAAACTGAGCAGCACAGTTTTTAAATCTAGTATGAGGCACAGAGCCAATCTTACACAGTTGAATGTTGTCAATTTGCACGTGGTTCATCTTAATAATATAATCCCCTTAACTCTAACAAGTTGGCCTAACATGACTACACTCTTCATTTCCCCACGAAGCAGATGAGCTGGACCCAGGCCTGATGACACTGATTCCTAGAGGCCTGTTCCCTACTCCAGTTGCTGGGTAATTGGCCCAACAACAGGATGTTGTATTTGTTGCAAACCTATTGATGCCAGGTACACTTGTTGCAATAGATAATTTAAACAAGTGTAAACTTATGAAACCTAAGTGCAAAAGGACAGAGTATTATGTGAAAAGGAAGTTGAATTCTTTGGAAAATTTCCATGAAAGTGAGCCACTGAAACTATAAAAGATCAGAAAGAAAATCATAAAAAGTGGAAAGAAAATAACCTGAACTTGCCTCAAGAATTTGTTTCATTGTTTTGTTTTTATATTTTTGATCAGCTTAGAAAACTAAAACTGGAAATTGTAGAAAATAAAGTCTGGATATAAATTATACTGGAAAAATACTGGTGAGAAGCATTTTCTAGAGGGAAGTCTTGTATATGCTTTTAAAAATGAGGAAATTAAAACATACTTGTACACTTTAAGTAAATAAAATGTCTATAGTATATGTCTAACTTTGATATTTCACTATCAATTTTTTTTGATTAACCAGAACCAGTCAAAATTGCTATTAGTCTGACTACAGTTGGTTATGCTATATTGTAATAGGTAGTCAGAGCCATTGTGTCTAGAGTTACTACAGTGAGAAAGACAAAGAAAAACTTTGCCACAGTCCATATAGATTTTCTTTGCTTTGCTCAGAAAACCATCGTAATAATACACAATCAACTCATACTTCTTACTTTAAATTGGACTTTTGGCTTCTATACGATGTTTAAATTCATTTTAATAATGTGAACCAATATGTGGAACTTAGAGCTGGTTCCTGCCTGCTTTAACTAGCTTACATAAAAATTAAAATAAAAAATACATACTATGGCATTATCCAGAGTTTATTAAACT